TTTTACTTACATTTGTCACGAGAGCTGTTTAGTTCACACAATCTTTAAAGTTCAGCAGTGGAGCCCAAATGAGTTGAAAATCACTGTTTAAAGTCAGCAATGTGTCATTCTACCACCAACAGTCTCTTTTACTCTGTGGTAAAATGTTTAGCTATAAATACAGTGTGGTAGCAGAGAGTCAGGTGTTTACAGGCATCAGTTCATGTTACTGTAGTGTGTTTTCAGACAGGCCAGGAGACGTGAGTCGAGGCACACCAGCGTTTAAGTTTCAAATATTTTAATTGGTCCTGTACTGTAAAGGATTACTGGGTAGAGTCCAGGCGATAAACTCTGGGTCTCATTTGAGTCAGAACACTCTCGTCATAGATTTAAACATTTAAAGCAACAAATGGAAATAGAGTTATGCTCGGCGCTGATGGCTCGGCTCTAAGGCGCTCCCCGGATTAGCCGAGCAGCGTGCTGAGCCAAAGCAGGGGGCGCGATGCAGAAAATCCCCAAAGCAAGACATTGAATACCATTTTGACCTTTGAGCCATGTTAGGACTCTGAGAGCTGGAGGCAAAGCTTTGCTAGCAGCAGCGTTGGTGTCGCAGCGATCAGTGAGGAGGGAGTCTGATTTAAATTGAACCGCCTTGTGGTGAGAATGGGCTAACTTGTGATTTTGCTTTAATTAAAAGGGGCAATAAAGTCTTTTTTTAGCTCATTACTCATTTGGCTTTTCATTCAGCACGGTTGTCTAGACGTGTGTGACATTCAGGAGATCTTAATCCAATGTCTCGGTGCTACTGCCGATGTGTGCGGTGGCCGTGTGTCGGCGCTTGGCGCTGCTCTGTTTGACCGTTTGAACATCGGTCTGGGTGTGAGCTCACTGGTGTAACTCTAGAGAGAACTGTTAGGAACAGCCAACTAGCTTCTCCCACACACTTCTGCTCTGGGTTTGAGCCAGTAAAGCTGCAAATATTTAAGGGCTTAAGATCATTTTTCGCAGAGTACACTCTTCACTTGACGAGTTCTCGTGTTTATTGGAGGAGTATATTTTCCTTCCGCTGGATTGGGTGACGTTGAGAGTGGATTACTCTTTGGGGTGCGGCATTAGAGTATTTAACAGTCAAACTATGCAGAGCAAACTAATCTAGACTGAATAAAACAAAACAATTGTTCTCCTCACACCTCAAGCTCCAGGCATCCTTGAAAACACGCATTTAACTTTGTCAACATATGTATGGTGTAGAAAGACATTATCAACACATGACATCATGAATAGCAAATTGTGTATTTAATCGATGTAAGTGCACAAAATCCTAACAATATGTTAGATTAGAGGAAAATATCAACTAAATTCGTGGACAACAGTTGAAACAACTTGTCAAATACCTCCAGTTGGTCAGAGCCTCTCAGAGTCTGATACCCAAGCAGCGCGCTTTTTCAACTAACGCCAATGTAAACCACGCGTCATTGATCAACATGGCTGACGCAGTGATGGATTGGGACATTAGCTAGTTTAAAGGCTTTCTAGTTTGCAAGCTAGCGATATCCAATTATCCCCAGAGTTCCTCAAAAAAAAGGGTGACCATATTTTCAAACCCCCAAACCAGCACCATTAAGTGTAGAGCACGTTAATGCACGTGCACATGAATGTGCCCCATGGACAGCGATCATGCTCGACCAAAAATGCACCAGTGTGTGCATAATGCTGGGTACTTTACGGAGGAAGAATTAGGCATCCTGAAGCTCTTTATAATAGACCGCCCTTCTCTACGCCGTAGAGAAATGACACATTGATTGATTGACACGTATACAGACAAATGAGACCGGGATGTCTGCTCCCCGTACTCAGACAGCACATTAACATGAGTGACAGGTGCTGTGAGTAAAAAGCTACCTAACACAGGGGGAGGAGAAGGCGGGGTTTGTAGCACACTGTGCCGACACAAAGAAAAGACAACTCAAGATCTGAGCTCACTTCACTTCAGGACGTCTCATATGAATCCCCGGAGGATCATTTGATTCTCTGCAGTGCAGTGAAGCGGATTGGATGATGGTGGGAATGTATGACGTCAGAGGTTCAGTTTAAAGCAGGTCCTCACATCGTGACCACACCCGGTGTGTATCACCAAATTGGAGCGCTGCACCCACAGGAAGCTGACACTTGGTGCATTTGAACAAGTGAATTTGAGAGTGTTTGTGTGCACGGCGTGTCTCCAGGTTTGTGTTTCTCCTGCCACGTCAGTCCCATTGGCCACGGTCTATATTTAGCCAGGAGGTCGCAGCCAAACAGCATGGGAGACGCTTCAGAGAGATGTGAGCCTGGAAGGAGGTCAGTGTGGGGACTGAGAACCGGAGCATTAGTAAACCACGAGTCAGAACAATCCAAACTCATTGCACAAGGTCACGAACACCTAAAACCTGCTTGATTTATTCCAAAGTAACACTGATATCGGTATGATATCACCACATACCAGTGATCTACTTAGTACACTGTCTTTGGGCGCTGTCGGAAATATCAGAATAATGACTTGAGCGTTCATGACTGGTTTAGAGAACAAGGTGAAAGGGCCATGCTGGTGGTCTGGCAGCCTAAGTATGTACTGTATCGTGTGACATGCGACTGCAACATCCTGAGTTCAAATTTAGCCGGGACCTTTGTTGTATGTCATCGGCCTCTTGCCCTCCTCTTATTTCCTGCTGCTCCTCACAGTTCACTCTCTCATGAAAGTTCAAAGTCTAGTATCCAAAAGAAGGTTAATGTCATGGAAGCTGAAATTTCCGATGTTCATGAAGCAGCAGAGATGAGATAGAGAATATACAACCTATATTATAGACTAATGACAATTGTTTTTTTTAAATCATATAGCTTTACTTCAAATGGGTAATGTGTTTATAAATTTCCAACTTCATTTAAAATGCATATGTTACAAATCTATTGGTTTATAATAAGCAGTGTGTGTGTCTGAACCTGAGCTTTATATTTACTTTGTGACACATTGGGTCTGGTAATAGACCAAGAGTGTGTTCACACCTGGTTAGTTTCCTATTTCATTTAGTTCCTGTTGGGATTTATTTTCAAAGAAAACAGGAATTGTAAACATTGGGTTTGCTCCAAACCCAACCAACAGAGTGCCCGTTTGAGGCAGCTTTCATCTTGCTGACATATTAGAGTCAAAGGTTTTAACAAAGGGAATTTTAGATATCTCTTTGTATCACTCCACATATCAGATAACACTGTCAACAACAAAAAATGTTACCATGTTTTTAGTAATAAAATGTTGTATAAATCAGGTTATGAATGATATTTGAACAAACCCCTCAGTAAACAGCTTCAGCATATAGAGAGGAATGAAAGTGTAAAGTTTGGTGTATGTAAGAGTTACTGAAGCGGAGATTTCTGGCTCAGAGAAAAAATTATTTAGAGAAAACATCCTTTAAAGCTGCACAGCAGCCGTTATGTTACATGTTACATTGACTGACATGGAGCTCATTCATTGGACAGCTTTGATGATGTGTTACTGTAGCTGTGTCTATAGGCTTTAGTGTTCTGTTCAGCAACGACTACGTGAAGAAGTTGAATACAAACATCTGTCGGAACAGCTAATATTTCAAAAATACAGATTATGAAAACTATTCTAAATAATGATTTACTGCTGACTACAAGTATTGTAGTATGCTTACTTTATCGTAAGTAAAATGTTATGCTTAACATTTAAAACCGATGAAAATCCAGCACAAACTCAAAGAGGGTGCATGGAATATGCAGCTCGTTAGCGCAGTCATTGTTCCTCACAAGGTGTAAAGTGGGACGCTCCATGAAGACGGCTATTGAGGAGGCAGCGACTGTAAGCTGAGAACGAGTTGAGAGTGCGGAATAGGAGAGAAATGGAACCTGAGAGTGGAAGACATTAAATATTCATGTCACGTTTAATAATAAAATGAAGTCATTCATACTCAATCGATTCAGATCAAAAAACAAGTCGCAGAGTCGCTTCACCTTCCATTCGGGCGCAGAGAAGCACTTTGCTTTAACATGAATCATCCGAGAACAACACTGACGGCAACAACATGGCAGCCTGTCACAGCTGTTAGCTGATTGAACACTGAGTACCTTCCAATCCAACATACATCGTTCTAGCTGACACTTAATCTAAAATAAAGCATGTGTGCTCTTCTTACAGTGTGTTCCGTATCTAATACAATGCATGTGAGACCTGATAATGATAGAAAGACAAGTTGCATTCATCTTTCTGCTTATGACCCTTATGACAGATAATAAATATAAAGCTTGAAATAAATGTAAATTGATGAGAACTTAAAAAAAATGAACCCTGTCACATGACTATGCATCTAATGTGTTTGTAGTTAATGTCTCTCAATGTTAATTGGTGAACAGACAGAAAGGCAGATCTGAAGACATGTAGGACAAACAAAATATTGTTTTTTTCACACATCGCTGAGGAAATAAAATAGTTTCTAAAATGAGGTTCTCTGATTGGAGGTCAGTAAACTGTTCAGTTCATTTAGTTTTAATTACAGTTATTTAGTTCACGGTTTAAATCACAGCATTAATAATGAATGTTCTCTCTAAAGTTACTACAAGGAACTTTTAACTGGTTAGGAATTAGTCTTAATTTAATACGCGTGCCTCTATATGATCAACAAGTCTGTTGGCTATTTCTATAGTTATTCTTGATGCTTGTCATCGGGACCGATTCCCTGCAGTATCAGACGAAACCCAGGAGGGCCACCATGGACAGACCCAGATCCTGCTTTGCTGTCGCCTTTGACCTGCGGTCGGTAGCTGTGGTGGGAGGAGGAGATTTAGCAGCGTCTCCTCCTCCAGCCAGGAGCAGAACTTCAGCTTGCTGCTCCGCTCTGTGAGCCAGGCCGTGTTGCTGGGCCCGCTGGAGGGAAGGGAGGCATAGGAGAACCAGAACCAAGACTGAGCGGGGCCGACTGTCAGACCCTGCTGCAGTAGAATGAGAGGTTTTCTGAAGGGAAACTGGTGCTCGGAAACACTACAGCTTTTGTCCACAGGGACCGCCACAATCAACACAAAGTGAAAGTTCCTGGTAGTAACTTTAAATCAGGGTCCATGAATTAAGTAACCAAAATATTGATATTCATCAATGTGATATGTTCCATAAACATGTTAGCATTTAGTTTAGCCGAGAACTAGCGCTGCCATTAACTACTTAATTTCCCTTCTACGCTATTTAAAACAGCGTTTTTTTTGTGAACTGTTTCAGTTTAGGCAATAAGTTCATGTCAAATTTGTTGAATAGTTCAATAAAATAGGTTAAGTTGCAAAGGACTAATTGCAGTAATTTAATAAATGAACAAACAGTAAATTGCCTCCAAACCTTGCAAGATAGTAAGACAATACAGGGCTGTTTCCCAACCACATCTGAGCATTAAGATTGACACACTTGATTACACTGAAGGGGGTATTTTACTGCAACGTAACATTGCAGCTTTTAGCACTTTGAGCTGTGTCCATGTTGGTGAACAATAAACCTCAACAATATTTCATGGGGATCCAAAATGAGTCACTGGGAAACAATTATTTAAAAAAGATAAATTTCTTTGGGACAGAACAAGATTATGGTAATGACAAGATTCACATGAGTTCACATGAAAAGCAATCTCTTTGCTAAGACGTCTTTGAGAAACACCCACGTCCCCCTGCACCCTGCTTCCTCATAAAACAAAAGTGCAACACCACCTCCGGGCCACTAACTGCTGCTGTCCTTCTGAGGGAGACACCTCTGCCAGGGGCTGTAGGGCAGCGCCAGCAGCAGGAAGAGGATCCCCCCCACGATGAGGACGGCACCCGCACAGCCGATGCACGACACCGACCAGGACAGCTCGTGGTGGAGAGGAACCGTGTGGTCGCTGGCCAGGAGGGCCAGGACGGACTGGTGAAAAACCATCAGTGTGACAAGCACCAGGAGACCTGTGGAAGAGACATTGGACATCACTGTTGGAACACTGTCTTAACATGAGACTACAATTATCAACCTCTAGCAATCTCCACTAATCAAGAAAGATGCACTGAAAGCCCAAAAGTTGCCCGGTGTGTTGTTGCCTCTACCGACCTGACAGAATAAAGCAGACGGATGCTGGCTTGAGGAAGAAGACTATCTCTTTACTGAGAGACATGGTTATGCATATGGCCCCCATCACCATCAGGAACAGGCTGAACAGGGCCAACATGGCTGCCGCTACATTCAGATCTGCACAGAGAAAGGAGAGCAGTGCTGTTATCACGATGACATTTACAATATTAGGAAAACTTGTTTTTGGAACTGGATTGGTGAGGCAAATCAAAGGGCTTTTAAGTACTTTTGATATATTTTCATGTTTAACAGGGACAGATCATCATGTCAAAGGTATTATGGAAAACAGATATAACTATGTATACTGGTTTTTAGAAAGAAAAACCCCCAAAAACCTGCCGCAACGTAATTCAACATCAACATTAACTGTTAATTTTTAGGCTGGAAAAAAAGATTGCCACTGCGTTAACAGTTGAAAAACTTCATAACTGTAAAATCTTGTCTCAGAATATTGCAAGCTGTGCACTTTTTGGGCATTTGACCAACCTGAAAACTCTTGGATATATTTCTCAAAGGTTCTCTATACGGAATTCAGAGCTTATCTACGATTGAGCGATTGTCTCCACATGACTCTCAACATGGAGACGGCTGAGCCGGCAACTGGCAGCTAACGGTGCTAAAAGTGCTAACAGTGGAAATAACGGCAACAGTGCTGACAGAGCAAAACACAGAGAGGGAGACTTCATCCACTGCTAAGGTAGACATTACTCTACTTTATCTTAACTTTGAAAATACTTGTTTGCTGCTATATTAATGCTCTGAATCCCGTTTATAAAACTTTATTGTATTTCATCTTCTCTTGCCCTCTTTTTTTCCTCATGTAGTGATATTTTCAGTCTGAAGGAGGCTGATTGCAAGTGCGAGACATCTGCAAAGATATATATAAACATCTCTGTGGACCTGCGCGGAGAAAGGCATTATGGGTAAGCATAGGCCATGGAGCTGATGCACAAACCTCCCAAATCTAAGCAATCAAACTCAATATTGGTTGATCCAACCAACATAAAAGTGTAAAAGATATCGACCCATAATGACAGCCATGCTTGCTGCTTACGCTCAGATTTTAGGAGCATAAGATTTTGTGTTTGCTCAGGTTTTTGAGAGGATCATTTTGGAAGCGTGAAGATTTTTGTTGCTTTATGATTCCACTTCATATTCATATTCATCATGAAGAAAGATTTAAATGAAGTAACAAATGTGCAATCTAAAATCCCGGTTCTAGTACGGTGTTATACACTCATGGCTGTATTTATTGAATCACTATAGCCTGACAGTGATGTGGCACCAGCGCACAATGAGATTTAAATGTACGTCTGTCGTTCATTCAGCGTATGGCACTCTGTGATCTTAACACATTATGGAGCTGCCAGTGAAATGAGAGGTTAGACGACTGCTCGGAGACACTTGAACTCAGCGTGGGTGGAATAGATTTCAAACACTCACAGAGAAGACAATGGCCAACCTGAACGAGTGCAGCGAAGAGGTGAAGGGAAATAGAGAGAAAAAGGAAAGGACACAGAAAGACAGGGGCGGATGACGGACAGGCGACTGAGGAATAAAGAAAGAGCATCAGTAGAGGGAGATGAAGGGGTGCGGGGAGAGAGGGAGAGATGGAGGAGAAGAAAAGGGATAAAGAAAGCAGGGAGTGGGCGGGTAAGGTGGGACAGCGGTTCAGAGAGGCCACGAGAGCCGAAAGAGGTGCATGACTCACTTTTCGTTGTTGTCTTCTGAAACATCACAGCATTTTCCCCCGTGGTGAAAAACTTGAAGTAGGTGCAGTTTGATTCTGCAGGAGGACCAAAACAAAATGGAGGAAGAGAAACAGCCACTGTTAAACGAGAGAAACGTAAACATAACCTGCCTTAGCTGCAGACGATCTTGATGAACATCTCATTGACATTCAAGCAGCCATATCTCTCTCTCAGCCCTTTAGTTTGTACAATTCTCCATCAAGCATAATCAGCCGTGAACGACAATGACAAGCTCAAGGTGACAGTCCAATGCTTTCCGCGCAATTAGCATTCCGCCGTCCTGATGATGTGTTACAGTAATTGGAGTTGGGCCATCGAAGGGAATTTGACACCTATCTGTTTCCTCGCACATTTGCACACACGAGCAAGCAAAACACGCACACACATCACTCTTAATTAGTGTGATCAAAGCTACATCCTCAGTGAGTTCTTGGTTGTTCTCTTCTACACAACAGCTATCGGCGTAACAGCACTGAGAGGAGCTGCACTCAAATCACATTGACAAAATGTCTAAACCCATCAACAAATGAAGGGGTCTCTGCAACAGGGCAGGCTGACAATAATTGGACTTTCCTCTTTGTTAGTCTTTATCAATTAAGGAAGACATGTTTCATGTTGTTCCATCATGGGCGTCTGGAATAAACACTTGCAGTAACAATGTGTAATATTTTGGGCTGTTCTCATCCAGCGTTTTGTAGCAATATCTCTAAAAACAAAATGTGCTGTAATTCATAGATATCCCAAGAATTAACTTGAACGTAATCATGAACCAGACTGCAAATGCCCACACAAGCCAGGTGGGGGTGGTGATGGATGGGCCAAACAAAAGACGATCTTTCACCCAGGAAACCAGGCCAATAATGTAGACTAGTCGTGTATAGTCAATGACAGGGAACCAACAACCTATGACTATCTCTTTGCATGTTAGAAAGTCCCGGGGAACCTGCAACCCTGTGAACCACTAAGTAAGTAACCCTGTGAATCAGTCCCAGTCGTTTTGATGAAGATTAAACAGGCATCCTGTCTGAAACCGATGACGAACACACACACACAACTTCTGGTGGACTTTTCTCTGTTTTGCTCTCTAAGTGAGTCATTCTTCAAAAGGAGAGCGCATACAGGCGAGTCATGGAAAGTGGAGGGATTCAGCAAAAAGCTGTAATAATCTTTTCAACACATGTAAAGTTAGACATCCAAATGGCATTTTCAACCCACAGTCCTTCATTATTTCCATTAGCTGTTCTTCAACCTGTAATGAGAACTTGGTTATTAACTAACTACATTTTTATATTTTTACTATACCGACCGGTCTAAGGCCCTCGGCATATTGATACCAGCGCACGTGTTTACCCTTACTCTCTCTATGAGATGCACCATGCTTTTAACAAACTGTATGGGAGGTTCAAATCATGTAAAAAAAAAAGAGAAACTCAAACCAGAAAACTGAAGATTGTTGCCCGTGAACTGAGGTCCAAAATCCAAATGATGTCACCTTTCACTTGACCCAAAAGCAACTTGACTGACTTGCTCTTTTACTCAGACTATGTAACAATGACTCAGGCAGTTAGTCAGCCAGAGTATTCATCCAGACAGCCATCAAACAGTGAGCCAAGCATTATTTGTCTTGCCAGAGACTCAGCTAGACCTCTCATTCATGCTATCTCGCTTCCCCAAACTGAGCTGTCCAACAGGCTCGAGAGTTTGACAAACGTCCAGTCGGCCAGTTGGTCCGTCAATCATCATCTTAAAACTCCCAACACTCACACAGACCAGTCAGATATCATAAAGGTTAGACAGACACCCAACCAGTCAGTAGATCTGTGAGTCACCTCCAGGTAGCTCAGCAGGTCCACAGCTCTCTCTCTCTGGGTCAATATCAGACACCCACAAGGTCTTTGTGCAGCCCTTCCACAGGCCGTAGTGAGCTGTCAGACATGTCTGCAAAAAGAAGAGAACAAAGATCTGAGAGATTTTTACAATCCAAATGTATTCATGCAGCACATTTAAAAACAACAGTTGACCAAATTGCTGTACAATAAAAAATATAACAAAAACTATAAAAAGAATACAGTGAAAACACAACAGACATAGATGACAATAATGTAGTGAAAGCTAGAGAATGAAAATTGTGTTTTAAGACAGGATTTAAAAATGGGCAGTTTTGGGGCCAGCCTAGTATAACAAAGGCAACTGGTTCCAGAGTTTGGGGGCTTCCACTGCAAAAGTCTAGTCTCTCCCCTGTGCTTCAACCGTGATCTGGGGACAACTAGTAGCAACTAGTCAACTGACCTGAGTGACCTTAAAGGGAAGTAAGTTGGAAAAGGTTGGAGAGATAAGCAGGTAAACAACAAAATCCTGAAAATCAATAAAAACGCACTGAAACACACAAGGAGCCAGTGAAGGAATGCCAGCATGGGTGGGATATGTGCTATCGCCTGCATGTTCTTCTTAAAATACGCAATAGTGATGTCATTTATTTCCATCCATCGAAGTGTTTAGATTGAGACACCAAACAGATTTGTTTCCATCGGGAAATCCCTGTTTAGTTGTGGGTGTTGTCGCCATGTCTTTTAGTACTTCAGAAAACAATATTACTAGAAGTTATATGTAGAAAAGCTCCTGCCCTGTTTTCTAATTTGAATATTACACCTGGTTGTTGTAGAAACTCTTAGGAGGTGACAGCTCCACCCAGAACTCTGTCCCCATCCCAAGGACTGTCAGGACGACGCCCACGATGGCCACGAAGAAAGCCAACTTGATCTGATACCAGAACACAATACAAAACAGTGAGGTAGTGTTAAAATCATAACTGAAATACTAAATCAAATCACAAAGAAATTGAAAGACCTGACAAGAACAAGCTTACATGCACATAGTAGTAACCATGTCTGGCTGTTTTTTCATATATAAGTTTTATCTGAATTTACTCCAAGTTGAGGTGATTTCATGAAATCATGTCCATTTCCTCTGCACTTACAACAACCATGCTCTTTGCATCATTTAATGTCTGTGGGAGTTCAGTACATAGGGGATGGACATGGGAAGCTTATACACTCAAAGAGAACAATGGAGCTAGGTAATTTAGAAACGCTAATGTTCAGGGAGGAAATTTACAACACCAAAGGGAAAGAACAATCTCTGAATGTTGTTTTTAATGTCCTCCACAGATGAAAGATCAACCCCCAAACACGCAGTTGAGATGTGTAGGTGGGCTTTTGCACTTCTGTGTGGAGATGTTGAGAGTGAAGATTTTTTTTGAGTAGGGACTTTTTGTCTGGTATGCATTAGGTTTAGAGTATTCGGGTAGGGAATTCAGCTCCTCAATCATTTGAATATGTGTGGTTCAGGCTGGCTAGGTCATCTTTGACCAATCATTTCCCACCTGCAGATTACTGTCATGGTTCTTATGGTTACATAACATTTTATTTCCGTAATCTTAAAGGACTGCACTTGGCATTTTGCATTTACTTATTTGTTAACTTTAGACCTGCTCTTTTGGATTGTCCACGATCTGTGGACAAGCCTGATTTCAGTTGAAAAGGCAGCTTTATGACTGATTGGTTCCATTAGCTCCAGAGTACTTTCATACAGCCTGGGGGAGAATACACATTCACACAGTATGAAGCCAGTCACCTTCCCTTCCTGAGCCTCACTCATGGTGTGTCCTGTTGACGTCGTCCTGCGCCGCTTGTTCCCCCCAAATGTACTGCGTCCAGCCATAAGGCCGGACATGCCTCCCGCACCCTGCGGTGCTCCTCCCGGTGCAGCCACCGCTCCTGGCCCCGCCGGACCAATAGTACGGCCCTCTTCATCGGTCACAAAAAAGGTAGACCACATGTTGTGACAAAATAAAAAACAACTAAGACAGCCGAGTGGGATTCAGTTCGGTGAGCTTGGCCCTCGACACGGATGGTTGAAACTTTATCAATAGAAAAATTGAAGACAGGAACAAAAACAGAGGAGATCTGTTGTGTATTCTCAGTTTGTGCCCATAAAGTGAACAGGAAAAAACACCTGAGACAGTATTAAAGTAAGATGATGTCAAACAGGTGTATCTGACATAAAGTAAGGAGAAGCACAGGAAGAGGTAGAGAGATGAACCAAGAAAAGAAAAATACTATGAGATAAGAACTAACAGCGAAAAAAAGTATAATACAAAAGTAGAAGAAAAGTTTAGCAGACAAAGGCAGGAATCAGCCTTCTCTTGAAAAAGAGCCTCGGAAAAAATGGCGGCTTTGACGACAGATCTAAAACTGATAAATGAATCATCGTGAAATAAGAAAATGACCGAAAATATGTGAAGCAAAGTTTGGCCACTGAGAGTCTTTAGAGGTAGAAGTCAGGAGTGGATGAAGTGATGCTTCCTAGAGGTGACAATGGAAGGACAGAAGAAAAGAGGAGAATGTAAAAGTGACTATCAACAGAATCAGGTGAAAAAGAGGTTCTGGTCTTTTACACAAACTTTTTAAAGTTTATAAAGAATATAAATGTATTGCCAGAAGAACAATGCAGGTGTAGAAATTGGTGCACATTTCATGGTAAAAATAAAGCAAGAAATATGTATATCAAATTATTTGTGGTACATGTCTTAACTTCATCTCTACATTTAAATTTGGGGACTCGAGCGATAGTGAAAATCACTTCACTTTCTTGGGGATTTCCATCTTCAGTGTGTTATGACAACCATTACATAAATCTTTCAACAGAAAACAAATCATTCCAGATTAGGTACCAAATAAATTTACCAAAATCACAGAGAATACTTAGAAAAAAAAACATGAAGAGCAAATAGAGCTCAACACACAGTTGTTTTCTGTAAGTGGGAAAACCAAAACAAATTAAAATAGACTTCTGCTTATTTTCAGCTTTTTCTTTGCTGATTTTAGCAACAGAAAAGGTTACAGAGTCTTGATTTTACTCCGTTTAAAACTGGCATTAACATGCAATCTACATCTGGATGTGTTATCTGGATTGGGAAGAAGGTAGGTTAAGTGGATTGGCCAAACTGTGTTCGTACAGTTGGTGGTCTGGCTCAATTTTTTAAAAAGGGATCTAGGCTCTTTGTAAATAAGTACAGTTTGCCTACATAGTGTCGGAAAGAGTTACTCAACAAGGAGAAAGGTCACTTGACTCTCTCCCTGTTATATCAAGTTACAGCACCATTGCTTCCTTTGATCTGGGAGCAATATTATGTTATCCCACTTGTCCCCATAGGAGAACCTTTTTTGGGTCCTGGTAGAACTTTTTTAAAGATTCCTTTTAATAAAGGTTCTACCTGAAACCCTTTCACAGGTTTCATACCTAGAACCATCTGTGATTGGTTCCACTCACAACCGTTTATGAGAGGTTGTATAGAGAACCTGTCTATGGTTGTAATGGTTCTAATAATTCCACCCAGAAAAAATAACTGTTTTATATTCCACGGGTTTCATCTAGAACCCACACAAAGTTTCTGCCAAGAACCCTTTTTATATTTCAAGCTTTTAATATAGAACCTACCCAGGGTTCCTCATGAAGGTCGATGTGGGCTCAGTTGTGGGCATTCCCTTTTAACTCATGCTTCCAGCAATCTGTGTATAACTCTTTCGTTTAAAGAGTTCTTTGGATGAAAATGGTTCTCAATGGAAACCTTAGAGTCACAAAGAACCCTTGACGAAAAACATTTTCGAATAAGGGTTCTTCAGTAGCAAATTGTTCTGGTTTAAACCTCAGCCGTTCTGGATAAACCCTTTTGGAACCCTTTTAGTGTACGGCAAAAGTGTGACACAGTCTACTCTGCCTCTGATTAGCTTAACCTGATATTCTTACTCAAACCCTTCCAATTTCTCTCATGCTAAAACCCAACCAATTCAACTAACGAAGGCAGCAAATAGTAGCCAATCAGAGGCTTGAATAGAGTGGGTCATGCCTTCTCCAAAGCAGGATTCGTAATGCAGCAACCTGTAAACCAGCCACAGCCGCAATCACACTGCAGGCAACATTGTGATAATAAGAACATATCCAAATACAGATTGCATAAACGTATCACTAATTACCCTCTTAGTTGCTAGTTTGGGAAGGATCCGTTCACAATGTGTTTACCATCTCTTGTTCTTGCACAGTTTGAATGGTGTCATTGTAAGATGCTTCAAACTAAATGTGTCATCCAAATAAATGTAATCTAATGCAGTGCTTTTTTTTATACCAGGGCAAATGAGGTCTTCTGGGATTCCTTGCTGCTAAAATGTATCAAAAATGTAAAAAGTTGACAGGTTACCAGAATTCTGTTGAGTAAAAGCATTGGTTCCTCTGTAAATGTGTGGTGTGAACACAAAGTCTAATCTAAAAATGTAACAAAAAGTATCTCTGCTATAGCACAGCGTATGCAGACCAAAGACATTAACTGTATACATTATGCAGAATTTGGAAAATTCATCAGTCTGAGCTTCTGATAAAAGAAAAGCACAAAACTAGAGAGAGCCTCCTCCAATCACAAACAATTATCTGTGCTGTATGTTCTAATTGTTTCCATTAGGACAGAAAAGCAATATAAAAGCACTTAGCATAATGGAATCGCAATCAATTATCTATGTAGAGATGTTATGTGACAGCAAACACACTGAAATCATAACCTGCTATCTATTCTGAGAAGCTTTGTGGTACCTCAGCAGCACAAAAACACTCTTGTTCAAGCCATAACCAATTATCTATTCCAAGAAGCTCAGTGATGGAGGTGTCACACAGATACGCTGCCGATGAATTGAATCTTAAACCCTTTATGTCTGTAGGGTGAATGAAGCAGCTGTCCTACTGCGTTCTGCCAAGATGTGGTGACAACAGACATGACAAGCAGCCCTTCCTCCTGTTAGCAAAAATGAAACATCCCCTGGGGAGAACACATAACTTTACTTTCCCATCACTGTCTGTCTTGTTGACAAGCTAACAAGCTGCAGAGTTTCAACTCATTTTCCGGTTCTTCATGGAATACAGATAATGATTCAAAACAGCATAGTACAATGCATCAAATATCATTTATTTACATCATATTCTGTTGTCACCACAAATCTTATAAGCAAATTTAAACACAGCTATTCAGATTCAGTCAAGCCACAGATAGTACGAATGCATCCATCACATGATACATGTATGCACACCATATAAAAAAATGTACAAAGCATAAAAAATATGCTTCATGTAAAGTGTAATCTATTCAGAAACTGTAAGAAATAACTCGTAGTTTTAATTCAACATAATCTTTTTTCTATATTTGGAAAAAATACTGTCAATTTTATAAATGTTTACTTTTTATGTTCTTTGTTTAATGTGTTACATTCTTGAGCATAAAATCTGACTTTTAACAACAGAAAAACATTACATTTGACAAAATAAATTGAAGAATTGGCAGCAAATTAAATAATAATAAAATCATGTTAAATGTTCACTCGAAATGGTCATTTTAGTAAAACGTAGGTTTTACACTAATACTGTATTCCAAAGAAATATGTAACGAAGGAGGTCAAAGGTACTTGTGGTGCCTGCATCAGATGCAGGCGTCAAACGTGCAACCTTTATGTTACATGAGAGATAACGTAACTACCCTGCTACTGGGACTGCCAAACTGATGTTAAAAATCAAACTAATCACACTTTTCACCAATGGTTTATACTGTATATATATGTATCACCTGAAATTAAAATGTGAATATGTGAAGGAAAAATATATATTTCATGCTAAAAGTAGAGTGCATGCAATTTGTCAAAATGGCGGTGATGGAAATTGGTCATTATGGGCTAAAATATACAAAAACTCAGCAAAAAACAAAAGAGCATTCACATTTGTCAATACAAAACAAGTTAGTTAAAGTATAATGTTAGTGATCAAGGACATCACAAAATTAAATAAAGTCAAATCTGCTGTCCTTACTCATGAAATCTGAACACGGCTGTCTTTAAAAGGCATCCAATTGGCCTCAGTGGAAAAGTAGCATCGAAGCCTGAGGAGGGGACTCATCGCATTGGCTGTGAGCAGCAACCAACACTCTCTAACAGGTTCTCTCTCCTAAAATATCTCCAAAGACAAGCCAAGATGTTATCGTCTGTGAGGCGCAAAAGTTCCTGCGTTATATCAAAGGAAACTGGCCTCCATAAACACTCTGTACCGGCAACGTTTGAAGAAGAAGCCCCCTGTCCAGTTGCCAAAATATATCATGCTGAAATGAGACACATTAGTTAAAAATGTTTCACTCTTTAACACGTGCAGCACACATGCTCCACAACGCCCCCCGCCGCTTCACAAATATCACAACAATATTAACAAGTTGCTGACCTGGTTTCTGTGTGTGAGCTTCTGCTTGGAGTGACGGAGGGGCGAGGCGAGGAGAGGGAGTGAGCGAGGGAATGAGAGGTGGGAGGGAGGAGAAAAGAGGGTGGAGGTCGAAGTAGGAGTCAGTGATAGAGGATAGGGGGCGTTAAGACTGTGTGTGGAGGTGAAAAAAAGCATCAGCTAAATGCCCAAATGTATGTGTGTGTGGATATATTTGTGTGTACACAGTGTGTGTGTGTACCTGTGCACACACACACAGATAGGGTTGCAGGAATACATATTGGTGTGTGTCTCTGTGTGTGAGAGTATGCACATATCTGTTGGTGTGCATGAGCATTCCTGTGTATTAGTTTGCAGCTCCATGTGTATGGGCTATGGGCTTCTTGGGCCAAATGCCTCAAATGTATGTTTGTGTGTGTGTGTGGGGGGGGGGGGGGGTAATTACTTTAAAAGTAAACAATCTTTTGGATTTAAGTTTTTTCAAAATGACCAGAAACAGAGGTCCACACTTGGTTGGAGTTGTGTGATGGTCCCCTGTTGGCAGAGTAGGA